CTGTGTGCACCTTGGCTCTGGAGGAGCATGTGACAGGCTCCCTTGAACGTGATCCCTAACTCTGAGCTGCTTGATGTTCTCTCCTTGTGTCTGTAGAACACCACAGGATCTAGTGCTGGGCTTCTATATTGGGGTCAATAAATAAGAGCCCCAACCCACCCCAAGAGGTGACACTGGCGTCAGTCAGAAGTAGGTTGAATGGCCATTGGGAGACGAGGTTGAAATGAGCTCAGTTCCCTAAAACTGCAGGCTTTCCCAACAAGGGGCAGAGGCTCTCGCTGACTGTCGTGTGGCGAGAGTGGGCAGACCCTCCTTCCGGCCTGGCAGGATCCCACGAGGGGTCTAGACCACACCAGCTCAGTTTCTTCCTTAAGACTCACCAGGAGGAGGCCAGGAGAGTGATCCCAGTGGGACCTCCCCTGGTGACAAGAGGAGTGGACTGTGGGTTTCTGAGGCCGGTGTGTTCCTTACTCCAGGGAGACGGGCAGCAGTGTAAAGTCCTTGGTATTTCAGAAGTCCCAGCCAGAGGTTTGGGCCTGGTAGATTCAGCTTGAAGAGCTTCACTCCACGAACAGAGATGTGATGTCCACAGGTCTTTAAAATGTGGGGAATGGCTCATGAGCTTCCGTAGCCTCCCGAGTTGTGAAGTAGACCATGACAGGGAACTGTTTCCTTCTTTCAGAAAGCTACACCTCTATGCAACTCACGATGTGACCCTCATCCCTCTCTTAATGACCCTGGGGATTTTTGACCACAAGTGGCCCCCGTTTGCTGCCGACCTGACAGTGGAACTCTACCAGCACCAGCAGTCGAAGGAGTGGTTTGTGCAGCTCTATTACAACGGGGAGGTGAGACCTCGCAGCTGGGACCGAGTGGTGGCCGGGCCCTCCCCAGTGCCCCTGCTGGGTCAGCACCAGGCCCCGTGGAGTCTCCCTGGGCGCCCTCGGCTCCCTGCAGCCCGTGGGCGACTCACAGCTGTGCCCAGGGCTAGAGCCCATCTTGGCCTGTGGTGGGACGTGGTCCTGATCCTGGTCTGCAGACTCGTTCCAGGAATAGAGCCCCTCCTGCTCTTCTCCCGAGAGACTGTCGAGACGCAGCCTCCTGACCGGGAGCCCCTTGAACATGCCCGGCTGGGTCTTTGGGAGGTAGCGGGCACTGCCAGCACCCTTGACTTGCCAAAGGCCTGTCGACATCGATGCTGAGGAAAGGGACCAGAGCTCTCCCAGAGATGAGACCTTTAGCTTCTCCAACTCAGTGATGTCACTTGACTGTGTCCTCTCAGCTCAAGGACATTTCTCGAGTGGCCTTTGTAAGCGGGCTGTAGGGGTGGGTTCTGAGTGTTACATGTGTGCGTGCTGCTGGGGCTCCCCGAGGCAGCAGAAGGGCCTGGCCCTGTGGGCTGCTGAGCCACGTCTCTCCCACAGGCGCAGGTGCCAAGAGGTTGCCCCGACAGACTCTGCCCGCTGGACCAGTTCTTGAACGCCATGTCAGCCTACACCTTAAGCCCAGAAAAATATCACGCCCTCTGCTCCCAAGCACAGGCCGTGGGCAGTGGGGAGTGACCGACTTAGCCCAGTTGATGTCTAACTAGAATGTCTTCACGCCACGCCTCCACTCTGTGTGTTTCCTCCCCCAGCTCTGGCGAGGCCTCTTTCTGAAAGAAAAAAGGGCATAATGTGGAGACCAAGGGGTTCTGTCTAATTTGTGGCTTCATTTCTAAGCTTGTGCCGTCTTCTCAGCATTCTCACTGGTCTCCCCCGCCAAAGTGAGGGCCAGCCATCACAGGCCCGGCCTGGTCGCCTTCTGCACTCTAGCCATCCTAACCTTCTCCCTGATTCTTTGTAGAGATTTTTCTTAATAGTGAATTAAAAGTTTCTATTAATTATGAACATCATTGTCGTCAGTGTCTGTCTATATTGTGGAATGATTAGATACAGTTGATCAACATCCATCACGTCATCCACCCTTTAGTTTTGTGGTAAGAACTCCTTTAGAGGTGTAGTTTCCAGGGCCTGGTTTCCTTTCCAAACCTAGTCCCCAGCGTGGCGGCACTGGGGAGTGAGCCTGGTGACGCGGCTCAGGGCTCTGCACTGTAAGAGGGCTGCCCATCTCTGGGGTGGCACAGCAGGGCACAGCGTGGAGGCAGAGAGCGCCTCCGTTGTGGACTGTCCATCCTCTAGAACTGTGACAGAACACATTGGTTTTCTATTAATGACCCACAGCGTTCTAACAGACTGAGTCAGCAGTGCACCGTTGTCACCCCATAACAGGTCACTGAACCTTGTTCTCCTAACGGCACATCTGTACATGGGCCAGCATCTGCCCTGACCCCACCCTCCTATCCCTTCTCCCCATTCCTGACCTGGAGCGTACCAGAGGGCCCCTGAGCCAAGTGAGCCATTCCCCCTCACCCAGCGTCTTCCCACAGGCGGTTCGCCCCTCCCAGGATGCCCCTGGACACCTGGGCTAACTCCCTCCCCTCTCTGGGCTCTCGGCTCCCCGTGGTCTCAGCGGCCCCCACATGTCCCGGGTAGCGGATCTCCGCCCTCCCTCCCCTCCCCCCCTCTGGCCTTGGTTACGAAGGCTCCGACCCTCCCAGCTGAGTGGGTCTCTGCAGAGCACATCCTTGCTGGAGGGTTTGAAATGTTTGCTTTCTCATATCATCGGAGAGCCCAGCCAGGGACATGGTTGTCAGTTTTGTCACTTGTGTGTGAGCCATATTGTGTCCTCCAAAGAGGACATTGCCACCTTTAGAGGCAGAATTTTTACCTTGATGCAGAGTTTCACCACCTTGTGTTATGGGCTGCACTGTGTCCCCCAAAATTTTGTAGTGATATCCTAACCCTTAATACTTCAGATGTATTCAAGAAGTAATTGAGGCCACAGGGGTGGGCCCTACTCCAATAAGAAGAGGAAATTAGGGCACAGACCCAGGGAAGACCAGGGGAAGACGCTGGAAGGACGAGACCTCTACAGGCCAAGGCAGCTGCCCACACCTGATCTTGGACTTGCAGCGCCACCAGGAGGAAGTAAGGTTTGTTGTTCTAGCTTCCGCCCAGTCCTGCTTTGCCGTGCCCTTGGAAACGATGGCCTGGCCTGACTTTTTCCCTCAGGACTTATCTGGGCGGACCTCACCCATCTGGGCACTTACTGGTGTAGCCCCCTGCCCAGGGTAAGTTCCCAGAAGGCAGACTGTCTCATTCCTCGCGGTCCCCAGCACTAGAAGAGAGCCTAACACAGGGTAGTGCCCAAACCTGTGGACACTCAGGGACATGCCCTGTCACCCCTCTCTCGGGCCCACCCTCCTCGTTTGCCGTGGTGGTTTCCTGATGGGCCATGCCCTCTCCCTTCCACCACCCTCCATCCCTGGGCCTGCTCACCTGAGTCTGACCGTGGAGACTCGTCGTCTTTGCCTGGTTCAGCCCTGCTTAACTCTCGGCCTCCTGTGTTGATGTGAGTCTGCAGCCTGTGACAGGATTGGTACAAAGTCGACCTCAGCAAAGCTGTCCCCAGTGATGGCAGGGATCCGTTGGCCTGCAGAGGGCTTGTGCACACTTCCCCGTCCACCACCAGGGGGAGGCCTGGGGCACAGGAATCACTGAGGCTTCGGGTCCAGTTCCCATCTGATCTGTCTTTCTCTGTGACCCTGGGGAGGGTGTGTCTGAGCCCTTTTCCCGCGTGTAAAATGGGGGCAGTGATAGGGAATAACCAGTGCTGGTGAGCGTCATCTTACACACTCGGGCCTTTCCTTTCTCTGCTCCTGCCTCTTCTGGTGGTCTTCACTGTGAGTCTTCCTCAATGGAAGGAGCCTTCGGTCTGCTGCCCTCCTGGCAGAGGCCTGTGTTTGGGGACCGCAGTCACCACTGTGAGCCTGCCTTCCCAGTCACAAAGCGGGACTGTGCAGTGACCTGAGGAGGGAAGGGGAGACGGCCGTGAACCCCTAACCAGCCCCGGTCTTGAGAGTGCTGCTGAGGCGAAGAGGACTTCTAGGAAGGGCCTCCTTGCACAGAGGAGCGTGGTCACCCTGTCCCCCTCAGCTGGGCTGGCTGGGGTAGGAGCGACTCGATTCATCCCACAGATCTTTCTGAGGGTCTCACAGCGGACTTCTGGCTCCAGCAGTCAGTGGAATAAAATGGTGGTCACTAGACAAGATGAGCCACTGCCATGAGCGGATTCCCCTTTAACAGCTTCTCCTGGACAGTTAAAAAGGGACCCACCGGGAGAGCGGCGGGAGGAGAGAGTTCCCGTTGCATCCCATCCCAGTCTCTGCCTACCCCGACTCTGAGGTTCTAGGTCCACCGCGTCCTTTGATCCCTCTGGTCAGTTTCAGTCAGAGGCAGGCCTCATTTTGCTCTTCCTGTGGTCAGTCTGGTTCTCCAATTTGATGATTCTGCACTTAGAGAGAGGACTGGTGGCCCTGGTGGACCTCATTAAAGAGACTGCTCTCTCCCCATGTGGGCTGGCCTGGCTTTGGGACTCCTCCACCGTGCAGCTTGGACTTTCCCTCTGACAATCCCCGAAGGTTCTCTGGGCGACCTTTCAGTGCCCAGGAAGCAGCGAGAGGGCTCTCGGGCCTCCTGTGCGAGAGGAAACAGGGCTGATGCTCCGGCTGGGACTCCGGCTGGCCGGCCACGGGCCTGCGAGTTCTGGAAGTGACTCACTGTGGACGCACTGCACGGTCACAGGACACCAGTTTCTCAACACATGGGGGCACCCACCTGAAGCTCAGAGAGCTCCCAGTGGGACCCCCAGAGAGAGAGAGGCAGAGCAGGACGGAGAGCCCTCCTGGGCCTTGGGCCCCCCGGCCTCTCGCCACGTCTCCACTCCCTCCTGGGGCAGGGCTCCCCCGTCTGCCCCTCACCACGGTGGCTGCTGCTCCTGGCACTTTCTGGTCTCCTTCCCCAAGCCCACTCCACCTGTCCCCGAGTCCTTGCCTCTCCTTGTGACCTTCCCTCCATGGCTCCTCCCATTTTAAAATGGTGTCACTGTGCTTCCAACTCTGCTTGGGCCTGCTCTCTTCCTAAGTGCCCTGCTTGTTCTCTGGCCTGCTGCTGCCCAACTGCCAACGGCACAAACCTCTCTCCTCTTTCCCCTGAAGCCTTCCCCGCACGCTGGCCTCTCTGGGTCTCCTCCTTACCCACTCTGCACTCTGTCTCAAGAGCCAGCTGCTGCCCTGCTGTGCCTGGTCCCTCCCAGCCTCTGGCCCTGGGGCCCTCCGGCTTCACTCAGGCCACCCCTGCCCCTGAGGATCTATGTGACTCTCTGCTTTTGTAGCTACTTTAGTGGCTGATTCTTTTTTATCAGGAAAACCATTTCCTGGTCAATCATATGGGAGAGGAGGGCGGATCATTTAGATTTCCTTCCTGTCCGACTTTCCATTTCTTTGCTGGAACTTCTGGCCTTGGGATGTGCAGACCCTCCTGGCTGACCCTGGAGCCCCTGGCTTTCCACTCCGGCCTCCCTGGGAGCGCTCACACAGGGCCACACCCTCATCTTACCACCTCCCCAACCTGGAGGTGGGCAGAGAGGCGAGGCCAAGGACTTTATTTTATAAAGTAATGGAGTAAAACAGTCCATATGCGGTTCGTGGGGCGGGGGAGACTTACTAGAGAAGAACAGACAGGGCTGGCGGGTTCCAGGTCCCTTCGCTTTCCTAAAACTCCGTCCTAACCAAAGACCCTGTCTTCGCCACAGACGGCAGACAGACCTCGAGGGAGCCACTGTGCCGGGTTGCTTCTGAGTTCAGATCTACCCTGAGGTAGATAAAGAAGTTGTAAAGGTAACTGCAGGCATCACCTAGGAGAGATTCAAATACTCTGGTTTCCAGACTCAGAGTTTTTAAATCCGCTGTGGACTCCAGAATCTGAAGACGGGAAGACCCCCAGAAGAGTCTAGAGTCGGCTTGTAAAGAGAAGTCTCTGAGCAGTGATCCTCATCCGGAATCAGTACCTGGCTGACGGATTTCCATGTTCCTTTGGGCTGATAGACCCACAGGAGAAGGATTCCAGGGAATTTGATGAGATCTTTCAGGTTAGGCCACGCTGGCTGGCCTGACCTGCTATCAGCTTCCGTTTCTTCTTCTGTGCTGTGCTCGTGCCTGTAATCCCTTATTCCACGTCCGACTTCTTCATGAGACTCTGAACTTGGTGAGAGAGGGGTAGAGCGATCCCTGGCTGGTTTACTGTGTCTGAAGCGCCTGCTCTTGTAGGTACCGATTAAAATAATAAATACAAGAACTAATTACCCAATGGGTAAACGGATAATGTGAACTGGAAAATAGACTTACAAGTGATTACACAAGTTTATTTAAATTTTTAATAAATTACCAAATTGATGTCAATATAAATATTAGTCCTAACTTAAAAAAGTCAGGGGAAACCTCCATGATATTGGATTTGGCAATGATTTCTTGGGTATAACACAAAAAAGACAGGAAAGAGAATGAAAAATAGATAGGTTGCACTTCATCAAAATAAAAATTAAATGAATTTTAGTGCACTAAAGGACACAATCAAAAAAAGAGAAAAGGCAGGCCATGAATGTGAGACAATTTTTTCAGATTACATGTCTGATAAGGGATTGATATTCAGAATATATGAAGAACTCCTACAATTCAACAATAAAAAAATTTATCTCAATCAAAAAATGGGCGAAGGACTTTAACAGATATTTCTCCAGTGAAGACATAAAGGTGGCAAGTAAATATATGGAGAAGATACTCAACATCATTATTTATCAGGGAAATTCAAACCAAAATCACAATGAGAGACTACTTCATGCCCTTGAAATGGAAGCTTTCATTAGGACTTTGCTTAAAACAAAACAAGTAACACCCCCTCCCTTCCAAAAAAAACCCCACAAAAATAACCAGTATTAATAAGAATGTTGACA